CCTGTCCTCCATCTGTCCTCTTTCTGTCCTCCGTCTGTCCTCTTTCTGTCCTCAATCTGTCCCCCTCCTGTCCTTCATCTGTCCTCCATCTGTCCTCTTTCTGTCCTCGTTCTGTCCTTCATCTGTCTCCCACCTGTCCTCCATCTGTCCTCTTTCTGTCCTCCATCTGTCCTCTTTCTGTCCTCCATCTGTCTCCCATCTGTCCTCCATCAGTCCTCTTTCTGTCCTCCATCTGTCCTCTTTCTGTCCTTCATCTGTCCTCCACCTGTCCTCCACCTGTCCTTCATCTGTCCTCTTTCTGTCCTCCATCTGTCTCCCACCTGTCCTCCATCTGTCCTCTTTCTGTCCTCCATCTGTCCTCTTTCTGTCCTTCATCTGTCCTCCATCTGTCCTTCATCTGTCCTCTTTCAGTCCTCCATCTGTCCTCCATCTGTCCTTCATCTGTCCTCTTTCTGTCCTCCATCTGTCCTCCATCTGTCCTCCATCTGTCCTCTTTCTGTCCTTCATCTGTCCTTCATCTGTCCTCCGTCTGTCCTCCGTCTGTCCTCCATCTGTCCTTCATCTTCCCCCATCTGTCCCCATCCTGTCCTCCATCTGTCCTCCACTTGTCCTCCATTAGAACAGGTGGAGGACAGATGGAGGACAGGAGGACCTGTAGAATCAGTCTGTATCTTCAGGTGTCTCTGACCTGGGTGGAGTTAGAGATCTACACAGACCTGCAGCTGGTTGTTTTCAGTCTGTCCTCCTGCAGGTGGGAAAGGTTTAAAGTTTAGACACTTTTAGGACAAAGTTCTGTTTTCCTGCAGGTCTGTGGACAGATTCAGCTGCAGGGACAGAAAAATCAAGTTAAATCAGAAGAACTCTGAGCTGCTTCCTTTGAGAATCTGTCCTGAAAACAAAGAGAAACATGAAGGAAAATAAATTCATCTTTAGTTTTTGGTTCCAGCAACTTCTCTGCCTCTGTTCCAAACCAACGATGATTCAGTTTTATTTGAGAATAAATTCTTCTCATTTCTTCCTGGGATCAGAACAMGGGTTTAACAGGTTTAAAGTCCAGATCTGTGAGCAGCAGGACCCGTACCTCCTTGGCCCAGGCGGGCTTGTCGTTGCTGCCCGGCGCCTGGTCCTTGTAGTGGTACAGCTGCTTCTTGTCCTGCGGGGGGCGCGGCGCCTCCTGCTGCTGCTGCTGCAGAGACACCAGGTACGCTCGCTCCTGCTGCAGCTGCCTCTGCAGCCGCTCCGCCTGCCGCTGCTCCTCGATCTGCTTCCTCTTGTACTCCTGAGGACACAGAGGACCGGAGACAGACAGGAGACAGACAGGAGACAGACCGGAGACAGACACGGGGTCAGAGCGTCGTATGGGATAAATCTTGTGCCAGCAGGAATTGAATCTGAATGTGCAGAATTAGAAATTGAATGCATTGGTTTGAAAATAAATTTCACTAAATTGATACTGAATTTAAAGTTTTGTWTCTGAATTAATTTACTTTGAAACTGTATTTTGGTTTATTAAAAATTCAGTTTGACTACTTTCACTTTCAGTTCCATAATTCAGATGTTTGTGTCACATCCTGGTCCTTGAGAAAGCCAGGCAGAGTAATCAAACACAGATCCACAGATTTATGT